TAGCTGAAAGTTCTTGTTTTCAAATACATTCTCAGCGATTCTCGGTTCATCCACGATGTTTCATAATTGGTGATTCGATCAAACAACAACAACAACAACAAAAATACCGGTGATCTCAATACTCCTAGTAAAATTCGACATTTAAATTAAGACATAGAGCGGTGTCGGGTATTACCGAGCTGCTAACACCATGCCCCCCTACTTCCTGCTGTGTTTTATTATCTGAAGCAATAAGTAATGCTAACAAAGAACCGTTCAGTGAGAATCATGTACACATACAAAGGCAAGCAAGTCTTGTCCCTCAATCTTTTTGGATTAAATGGATATTTCACTTCATCACATTTTCATAATTGTTTTGAACTCTTGTCGACTCGTCTGAACATCCTTGTCAGGCCATTCGTAACAGCCATGTCGGGCTATTCCGAGCAAACGGTGTGCCATAAACATTTAGTTGTGACCGAAGTGTCATGATCATTGCTTCGAAGCATTATCGTTTGTTTTCAGTCGTGTATACAGAAGGTTGATAAACACTTTCCTCAGTCCTATTACTGAAATTTGCAAAATTTGAAAAGTTGAGTAACAGGAACGAGAGTCCCTTGATCGATAGTATTTGTAAAGCTGTCACGACCAACAAGTTAAAGAAAAACATGCGGAAATGGAATAATGTTTGGTAATAGCCGCTTATTCGGTAATACGCAAAACGCCGTGAATGGTGATTTAGTAGTATGTCAAAACTGGCGAGATTTATGATGTATGTAATTTCCAGTAAATTTGCCCTCCCTACAATGAGCGGATGATATCATAGAAAAGCGAATATTTCAAACAGATTCAAAACTACGAAGTGCATTTATCTTCGTGATTTATTTGGATATGGTTTCGACATCAAAGAGAGGGTTGTTCAAAGAGGAGGGACAAATTGTACAATTTATGAAGAAATTAAGTAGCAACTTCACCGATGGCTAGCTAGATGTACATAGTGCATATACGTTCCAGTTTTGCTTTTGCTGAAAGAACATACTGTTAAAGAGCGACCGACTCAGGTTGAATGTTATACAATTTGGTCACGTGGTACCACTTTTCGTACAATGTATACCTTTTTTCCCAAACGCAATGTCATCACAGTGTGGAACTGACCGGTACACAAATCCAGCTGGCGGCCAGGTAACAAGACGGTTTAAAACAGTAGCCTGCGCACACAAGAACCACACCTATACCTTCACCGCGTGAAATGGGTTTAACAGAGTATAATGACGTCATTTGTTTATAACTTGGGCACCAATAACGTCATTTGCAAGGGACATAAGCCATGGTGCGTTTATTGTGGCCATAGAACTCTCGGTAAATGTGCAAAATATGAATCGATATAACGCAAAAAAGTAAATTAGTTACTTATGATATATGTACTGCTTTGACTATGAGACTGCTTGACAAACACATTTTTGCAGAAAAAGTGCAAGACAAAAAGGCTAATTTTCGTGTAAACTTGCCTTTCAAATTACATGATTTATTGTTAAACAAGTATTGTGAAGATAATACGACGTAATAGAAAAGGCGTTAATTCATGTCAAGGTATGAAAGTCCCAAATATTTCAGCCAGACCACAGGGCTGGTTAGATGTAAAACTTGCCAGGCCTGACCAAAACTTACCTGACGACAAAATATCTTCATATATATTTGTCTAAATTTTAACCCGACCGTCGGGCAGGTGAATTTGAAAATATGGCAGTCTGTGTTGAAAATAGCCAGGTCCGGGTGGACGGGCAGGCAGGTATTTCGAACGCTGCGAGTCTTTTCGTCCAATGCATGATCGAGACAGCTCGTATCTTTTGTGCACCCACTTGGTTTTGTTAAATACTTCGAAAGGAATGCAAGCCTGCTCCCTGAAGTGTGACATACCTGTGTCCTGCACGCGTTACACACTAGTCTGTCTCACAGTCCCCAAACCCCTGTCATCAAGCCCTTTCTGCAATGCTTTTCCCCAAAATGATTCAACTCTCGATTTTCCACGGGCTCTGAATATCCCATTTTACTATGTCTGCTTTTCAGTTTAAATGGTGCGATTTGTTGCCACCAAAATAACATATTTTCAGATACTTACTTTAGTCTAGCTTACTCGCGTGCACTTCTGATAACAAACATACGTTTCGTAGTATATACTGATGGTGAGGTCGTGTATACTGATGGTGAGGTGGTGTATACTGATAGTGAGGTAGTATATACTGATGGTGAGGTCGTGTATACTGATAGTGAGGTAGTATATACTGATGGTGAGGTCGTGTATACTGATAGTGAGGTAGTATATGCTGATGGTGAGGTCGTGTATACTGATAGTGAGGTAGTATATACTGATGGTGAGGTGTATACTGATAGTGAGGTGGTATTAATTGATAATGAGGTAGTATATAGTGATAGTTGGGTAGTATATACTGATGGTGAGGTAGTATATAGTGATAGTGAGGTAGTATATACTGATAGTGAGGTGGTGTATACTGATGGTGATGTCGTGTATACTGATGGTGAGGCCGTGTATACTGATAGTGAGGTAGTATATACTGATGGTGAGGTCGTGTATACTGATAGTGAGGTAGTATATACTGATGGTGAGGTGGTGTATACTGATAGTGAGGTGGTATAAACTGATAATGAGGTAGTATATAGTGATAGTGGGGTAGTATATACTGATGGTGAGGTAGTATATAGTGATAGTGAGGTAGTATATACTGATAGTGAGGTGGTGTATACTGATGGTGAGGTCGTGTATACTGATAGTTAGGTAGTATATACTGATGGTGAGGTGGTGTATACTGATAGTGAGATAGTATATTACTGATGGTGAGGTGGTGTATTCTGATAGTGAGGTGGTATAAACTGATAATGAGGTAGTATATAGTGATAGTGGGGTAGTATATACTGATGGTGAGGTAGTATATAGTGATAGTGAGGTAGAATACTGATATGAGGTAGTATATACTGATGGTGAGGTGGTGTATACTAATAGTGAAGTGGTATATACTGATAGCGAGGTTGTATATACTGAAAATGAGGTGGTATATACTGATAGTGAGGTAGTGTATACTGATAGTGAGTTGTTATATACGGACAGTAACGTGGTATATACTGATAGTGAGGTAGTATATACTGATAGTGAGGTAGTATATACTGATAGTGAGGTAGTATATACTGATAGTGAGGTAGTGTATACTGATAGTGAGCTGATGTATACTGATAGTGAGGTAGTATATACTGATAGTGAGGTAGTATATACTGATAGTGAGGTGGTATATACTGATAGTGAGGTAGTATATACTGATAGTGAGGTGGTATATACTGATAGTGAGCTGATGTATAGTGATAATGAGGTGGTGTATACTGATAGTAAGATAGTATGTACTTATAATGAGGTGGTATATACTTATAGTTAGCTGATGTATAGTGATAGTGAGGTAGTATATACTGATAGTAAGATAGTATGTACTGATAATGAGGTGGTATATACTGATAGTGAGGTGGTGTATAGTGATAGTTAGGTGGTGTATAGTGATAGTGAGGTGGTATTTACTGATAGTGAGGTGGTATTTAGTAACAGTGAGCATGCTTCATGAACATATGTGTTATTTTTATATTTTAAAAAAAAAGAAAGAAAACAACAACAAACCACCCTCGAGACTGTTATTCCTTGCAGACGCTGCCCTGAATACCTCGGACAACCGCCACCCTTAAATGACCTGATTTAATGTTAAACAAACACTGTGAAGATAACGCGAAGTAATAGGAAAAGGCGTTATCTCATTTCGCTCAATGCATGATCGTTAGAGCTGGTATTTATTGGTCACCCACTTGGTTTTGTTTGTTTAGAATGAAATGCTAGTGTTGTGCTGCAGCTGTTAATCACTAGTCTGTCTCACAGTCCCGAAACCCCTATCACCAAGTCCTTTCTGCAATGCAATAGCTCTATTTGATTCAGCTCCCGAGTTGCCATGGGCTCTGAATCTCCCATTTCACTGGGGCTGCTTTTCAGTTTAAATAGTCTGATTTGTTGCTACCAAAATAACACATTTTCAGAGCCTAAGCGTTAGTCTAGCTTGCTTCTGATAACACACTTAAGTTTCGTAGAATTAGCTTTCTGTTTCGATTCCACAAAAATGACGTATTTACTATTCTCAGTTTTTAGTTAATGATTATTTCAGTCGCTGAGTATAGTCACTGTGGTGAAAGCTTCATCACAGACGTCCGTTTACTGGCCCTGAGTTAAGGTAAGTTTTGATATACTTTCTCCCTTGACACCAGGTTGAAGTATACTAACGTCCAAAAGAAACGATTTTAAGCTCGATAACTAAAAAACAACAAAACATAAGTGATGAAAATAAACTTTTTTGCAAACAGACATAGTAATACAATGAACAACAGAAGAAGTCATGCCGGAGAAGACGTCATCCCAAATTTTGAGGTCATCGAAGGATAGCGTCCCGGAAGCCTCGCCCCCTGTACGGGGTTTGAAGGTTGGATTTGGCTTGGCCTCGGGGGTTGGGGCGTAATCGGATGGTGTTGAACGAAAGATTGGGTTCTCCGTCGCGTAATTCCATAGTGTTTCGTGACTCAGATAATGGGCCGTGAAACGCCCCGCTTCCTCCCTTGAATTATCGAGGCGTGGTTTCTTTGAAGCAGACCAAGCAATTTTCCGCGCTTGGATGTAAATATTTACCACGTGACTCCAAAACGCAATTTGATTGGCCGCACCACATTTAGGCTTCCCCATTGCCTCCATATTACATTAATCACACAGAGAGAACGTCTAAGTGTCACACACTGTATTAATTATGATGTCTCGATTTGGGCAACGTGAACGATGAAGATGTTTGACATAAAGACAGCAGACTGTGTTGTGCATAGCCCCTCATATGGCAATAGTGTGTATTTAAGCAAACTCACTGAAAAAAGGAACAATGTCTGACTGTCCTTTTGCCCTTTTGACTTATTCAGTTTTGGCCCTGTTTTTTTAGATGGCAGAAGATGGAGTACGCCACAAGGTTGTGGATAACATCGATGACAGCGTCAAGGCAGTCGGTGACCTCCTGCAGGAATCTGTCGTTGCTGTGAACTGCGAGGGAATCCATCTTGGAAAGAAGGGCCCTCTCACTCTTCTCCAGGTGGCCAAACTAGACGGTTTTGTCTACTTGTTCAATGTGTTCGTTGAGCCAAAAGTCTTCACTGAAGGCCGACTAAAGTCGTTTCTGGAAAACAAAGATATCATCAAGGTATGATGCCATGAACAAGGTGGATGTTTGACATGAACAATGAAGATGCTTCACATGCACAATGGAGATGTTTCACATAAACAGTGTGGATGTTTGATATGAACTATGTAGATTGGTGACATGAACAATGTTGATCTTTGACATGAACAATGTGGATGTTTGACATGAACAATATGGATGTTTGACATAAACAATATAGTGTAAATGATTGACATGAACAATGTGGATTGTTCTGAAGACATTTTGGGTTTTTCATTTAAAACTGTTAACCCAAAGGCACCCAGTGCATACTAGACGTATGGCCTGAATACACACCGGAGATGAGTGCACGTGAAAGGCGAAGTAGGTTTGCATATATAAGTCGGTGGTCAACGATACACCGACCCATTCGTGCTTATTCGTTGCACTCGACCATTCGTTGCTCGTTCGTGCTATTCATTCCCAGGGGCGTAGCTCCCATTATAGAAAAAGCCCGGGCTTACACATGACTTTTGCTTAAATAAAATTGTTCTAATTCTTGCCAAAAGTACCTACGAACGTTATCAGAACAATATAAAAAATGGTAATCCCTCTATGAATCATATTGACTTCAATATTCTTTGATAACAAAGCATTACCAATACAGTAAACATGTTATTCTTCGTATATAAATTTGAAAGGTGTGTTTCTTTCAGTGATGATTGTTTTTCCATCGACATATATGTGAATGTTTTGTTACAGTCATGATTATATGTGAATCATAACTGATATGCAGGTATTTCCATTCGCCCTTCAACGAAAACTTATAAATGCGTTTCTTCATTCTGTACTCATTCTGTGGGCTTTAAGGTGCAACCTATCGTGCTTACGCGAACAAACTGGCTTGCTACGTGCGTGATTCCTGTTCGTGTTAGACTACGAATGACTTTGTTGTTAGATTTGTAGGTTCAATTGGCTATTGTGGCGTTAGATTGTTGAACTTGTATTAGTGTGTTTAAAGGTTAGACAATTAGCGGTATTTAGCGGTTCATTTCATTTCAAAGTTCATTTTCATCACTTTAAGAGAATCACGTTTAGTTCTTTGTAAATTATCCATAAGTTTTTTCACTGAAAATAGTTATCACGTTTAGTTCCTTGTTTAGGCCAAAGGTAAGTTCAAAATTTTAGTTTTCAGTTTTCAGTTACATTGCATAGCTCTGCACATTGTTTATTTCCACTGTGCAACATGGATGTTTGACACGAAGGATGTAGATGTTTGACATGAAAAATGTAGATGTTTGACACGAACAGTGTAGATGTTTGACACGAAAAATATGGAAGTTTGACATGAACAGTGTAAATGATTGACATGAATAGTGTGGATGTTTGACACAACAATGGGGATGGTTGACATAAAACAACATTTCTTGATTGCTCCCCGTCAAGACCATCTACCAGTCAAGACCTCAACATGACCTATAGTTTTAACAGTTTCTGTTTCAGGTGTTTCATGCCTGCAGCCACGACAGTGCCGCCCTCAAGTGCCAGTACGACGTCATGCTCGTCAACGTGTTTGATGTAAAGGTTAGTATATTAATGGTGGCGGGAGGATAGCCAGGTGGTTAAAGCGTTTGCGGATCCGATTCCCCACATGGATAAAATGTGTGAAGCCCACTTCTGGTGTCCCTTGCCGTGATATTGATGTAATATTGCTAAAAGCGGCGTAAAACTAACTCACTCACTCGGTAAATTAATGACACAGGAAGCAAGATAGGGAACGTCCGAGACATAAACCGTTTCTACCTGTGACTTTCGGGGTCAGTGTGCCACTGTTTATGAGCACAGGACCTACTTACTGGTACCCTGCTGCGCTGTTCTCTATTTATACTGAACATCATTGAAAACGCACCACTTATAAAAGTTCAGATTATTAAAAGCACGTGTAAGGAATTGATATTCTTTTAGTGGATAATATCAGATGGACGACTGACAAAAACAACAACACATAAAAGACGCTCATTCATTGAAATGTTCCACAGTCTGAAAGGATCAAACACACGTGGGGGTCAAATCGAAAAGTCAATAATGCGTGTGACCGCCATTTGCACTGACATATGCAGTTCAACGTCTCCTCATTGAGTCAATAAGCGTCCAAATAGAGTTCATTCCACTTCTGCAGTAGTGCAGCCTCAAGTTACCGGATGTTTCGCATCTGTTGCCGCGAAAGACTTTGACCAATTTCGTCCCACAAGTGCTCCATGGGGGATACATCTGGCGACTGTGCTGGCCAATGAATAACCTGGAGGTGTTGCTGGGCCAGATACTGCATGGAAAGTCTTGTTGTGTGTGCCCGTGCGTTGTCCTGTTGAAAAGTATGGACATCGTGGTTTTGATTGAAGACAGATACGATGTGATTCTGAAGAATCTGCTCACGGTAATAAAGGGCATTAACTCTCCCTTGACAGACATGTAGGCAGTCCTGTGTTTGTAATTTATTCCATCCCAGACCATGACACTCCCACCTCCCAAAGGTCTGTCTGAACCACACACTCATCAGCATAACGTTCACCACGTCTACGCCAAACTCGTAATCGGCCGTCAGCATTACGTAGATGAAGACGTGACACTTCATACCACACCATGCCATTGTTGTAACCTTTACTGAAAATGCATGCTAACCCATTGTATACGCTCAATACGGTGTCTGTCAGTCAGAATTGGTCCAACGTATGGACGTCGAGCATGGAGCCCTGTAGCGTTTAGACTGCGTCACATGGAGTCAGCGCTGATGACTCCCACGTCAACCTTGAACTAGTGCAGCAGTCCTGGCAGTCGGCAGTGTTCAATCACTGATATGGACAAGGTCAATATGGCGATCCTGATGGAGCGTCGTAACGCGTTGTTGCCAAGGTCATTGAAGGTCACGGGTGCTGCCTGTCTACTGATGTAGTCTATGAAGCCTAACGATGGTGGAGTGGCAAAGTCCAAGTTGTCGAGCAATATCCCTGCTGCTGGTGCCAACCTGAATCATGCCTAGTGCACGTTCCTTTCGTGAGGTGTTAACCTCGGCATCTCTGTCCTCGTATCACAATCGTGAGTGAAGCAATGAGAATCGGTTCTCATACACCTGCTTTTAATGTCACAGTCAGTATGATTTCAGAATGAAATTTGCGCCTTTTTCATGGCGTGGCTGCATGTTTGGAATTAAGAGTCATACTGTGGACAGAAAATTGTTTCTAAAGCATTTTTTCAACTCGACATGCCCTTCGACTTCATGTTAGTTATATTCATTGATTATTGTCATGCTGAAATCCATCTTGATGAAAATATGGACAATTTAAGACTGGTGCGTTTTCAATGATGTTCAGTATATTATCATTTGATGCAAAGTCCATTATTACATTCGTTGTGGATCGTCACTTTGAGATAATCAAGATAACAAGTGTGTGTTTTAGGACGCAGTTAATGATCATATCTTATATCATATATCATATATATAAGATTGCTGGACATTTTCAGTGTTATTTAATAGATTTAGGTTCATCATTCTGTTGCCTCTTATTTGTTTGTATATGTTTATGTTCTTTCAGGCGGCCCAGTATGTTATTGAAAAGTCCGAAGGGAGACAACTCCCGTCTCACCGGAAGTTGCTGGACCTGTGCCGCTTGTACACAGACGTCACATCGCTTGAGGGGAAAGAAGAAGTTCAAGTAGGCCATATGAATCATTTAAGAAACATTTTGTCATTTACTGACGTCATATAGTTTCATGTATGTTGACGTTAAGTGTACTTGTGGACACACAGTCATTCCTTGCTTGCGTCATGTAAACACAGTTGGGTTACTATTTTATGAGAATGGATGAAGGGCTCTGAAACCCAATACAAGCAGGTCCAATTAATTTGAATGTAAGAAAACTTGATTCATTTATAGATAACCTATTCATTTCGTAAGATGGTATTTTGGGATTGCAAAACTAAAGTTAGGGACCGTTCATAATTTATGGCTGGGGGACGATCATGATTTTTATCAATAAATGCAGTAAAAGCGCTGGGAGGTAGTCAGCACAACATGAATACCTCACTCGAACATGAACAGAAGAAAATTAAAAAATTGATCATTCAAACTCCAAGGTTTATAAATGAATACCGTCTCAATACGTAAAAGACTTTTTGTGTCCATCCAAGTACAGCGTTTGCTCCTACTTCGGATGAAAATAGACACTGTGGTAAGACAATATCTCATAGAAGTCAATACTGTAACTAAAAAAAATTGTAACGTACATTTCGTAAATAACAATGCTCTATTGATTTGTGCTCTCCTACATGAGATGAATGGTGTATACAGTGACTGAAACACTTTTTTGTGTTAGTAAGAAAGCAGAGAGCATAATTTATGGATAGAACCTTTTTCATTGAAATTGTCTTATAATTGGTTGAAAAATGTCATCAGTTCTCAAATGCGTAGATCAATGCTCATAATGTTGATCACTGGATTGTGTGGCCCCGACTCGATTATTTACTGACCGCCGGAATAGCTGGAATATTGCTGAGTGCTGCGTAAAACTAAACTCACTCACTCGCTTAAGCCGAACCAAACATAAGACTGCAGCTGGTTGATCTCAGAACTGATGGGGCTTGTGTTACAACTGCACATATCGTATTGTTGTCTTATATGTTGATGATTAAGTTAGCAGTGTGGGAAGTTAATGCTGTTTACTTAAATATTAAATGTGAAATCACACCGGCATTTGCGTTTATCTCTCCACAAGGCAGTAAAGTCAATTCACAACTATCTCATGTATCTCGTGGTATTTTAGTCCGGTGCCTCAGGTTATCAGGTTATATCTTGATGATGATAAATGTAAATAGATAGCTCATATATGCTGTGCGCACACGCATGCACACACACCAAAAACAAAAACAAAACAAAACAAAAAAAATACACCCAAATTAAGACCGTTTTTCACGCGGTCATAAATATTCAATTTAGTTTTGAGTTGTCACAAAGCAACTTTTCTTTTGCAGGTAATTTTTATGTCTCGATGATATGGTGGCTATATGTCTTCTCCTTAAACCAAAATGTAATAATATGGTAAACTTTCATTTACAACTAAGGATACTTTGATTTACAGGCGAAATGGTACAAGGCAGATGGGGCCTTCTGGGCTAAAAAAGAATTATCGCCGGAAATGGTAGACTACGCATGTGCAGATGTGCGGATTCTGTTACCGGGAGTGTATGACAAGCTGAAGAGGTAGGTTTGGAAGTTGAGAGGGGTTTGGTTTCAAGCCAGTTTGAAAATATTGCAGTTTCATTAACTGTTGTAGGAAGAAAGATGTGCAGGTTTATACAACCCACTCTGTGTTGCCGACCACGGTCCCGACAAGGCGAATCTAGAATTCGAACGCATGATCTGGAACGCCCAAGGGACGCAACGAATAGTGGCGCCTTTAAAGCTTTTTTGCCTTTATAATTGTATTTGATGTGAAAACCGATGTTGTGGAGGCTATTAGTGCTTTTCTCAGAGAGTTTGAGCCTCTTCGAGACTAGGTGTCGGTTCTATTTTCAGTGATTTTATATAATTTCCAAAGCCATTTTGTAGGAATTCGCCAATTTTCACTGATTTTCATCATTTGTTGAACTCCATTCTCTTCCCACAGAGGTTACTTGTCATATTTTCCTACGAACCTCTGTTCTAATACGGCCATATTTCCCGGTTCTCGTAAAATCCCCTAGCGGCAAAAGATCGCAACACGAATTATCTCCCTTCTTTCTATCCAATCAGAACACGTGTTACATCGACTTAGATTCAACTTGACTAACACAAGCAAATGTGGGGCCACAAATATCCCCCATCTGCCGGGGACTTGTGTTGATGTTACACACAAGACGTTTAATGGCTAGCTTGTTCGTTGTCAACGAGGGCGATGGAGACGCCACTGATCCGCCATAACATGACTGAGTTCTGTCTAGAATAAACGTTTGCGCATCGCGCAGGGAAGAAGGTTTTAGTTTTCTCGAAGCATACGGAAATTACCGAGGCCTTGCGAATGATCACTATTGAAACAACGTCGCTGATTGCACAACTAAATCTGATTGCCTCCAATCACGAGTCTTGAACGCTCACACCATGAAAGGGCCGTATTAGAACAGAGGTTACGTAGGAAGATATGACAGGAGTAACCTCTGTGGGAAGAGAATGGTTGAACTCATTACAATAATCTTTTCAACGTTACGAATATGTTTTACAATGCATCAGTTCATGTGTAAACAGTACCTTTAAACAGTATGGAATATTTTGCAAAATTTAGTTTAGCACAGTTGTCTGAAGTCGGTGGCCATATTTACACTATTTAGTCTAAACTTTTGATGAGTAGTATATTACCGAAGCACTCTCTTAGTATTGCTGGGGTTGTTATCCCCCGCCAGTGGGAGGGGGTATTGGCTGGAGTTCCGTCCGTCCGTCCGTCTATCCGAGATGATGGGGACAGATTTTCACAAAACATGTTCTAGATTGGTATGTCTTGACTTACTTCATGGTATCCCCAATGGGAACAGATTTTCTCAGTAACCAAATGTGGTACGTGTTTTCAAGACATGAATGCCTTGATGGGAGTTCGAAAACGGAAACTGTGTTACAAGTCGTTGCAGAGTTATGGCCCTTGTCATGCGTTTCTTGACTTAGTGCACGGTATCCCAAATGGAGAACAGATTTTCTCAGTAACCGTTATAGATAGGGAATCCAAATGTGGTATGTATTTTCAGGACATGAATGTCATGGTAGAGTTAAAAATTAACTCCAGGAACCAAATAGGAACAGAACACAGTTGTGGGGGACATTGATGCGAATGCTTTTGTTTTATATTTAATTAGGTTTAAAGAATTAAACCTCTTCGATACAACTGAGAGAAATATTATTTGTTAAGCACATATTCTAAGGTAATTATTATTATTATCTGTTCTCCTTATGTATCAAAATGTATATTTATAAATTGGGTTTATGAATCACAAATGGGATTTGTTTCCATGACAGATATGCAAAAATGTCTCCGGAATGTGTTCTTCATAATAAAGACTGACTGGGTGAGTGAGTATGGTCTTACGCCGCTTTTAGCAATATTCCAGCAACATCACTGCGGGGGACACCAAAAATGGGCTTCACACATTGTACACATCTGGGGAATTGAACCCGGGTCTTCGGCGTGACGAGCAAACGGTTATGTGTGGATATATTGTTTTGAAACTCGATAACTTCGCCCATGAGAGCCGTTTTGTAACCAAGAATTGAACGGGTTACCGGCCTACAATTTATGATAATAAAAATATGAAAGTTACATGTATGTACAGGGAAATTATCTGGGAGTACATTGTTATCAACTTTCCCGTCAAAACCCCACGGGAAATGTTTCTATAAACTCTCAAGAAAATACGAAGGGTAGGTAATCTGCCACTAGAGTCTGAATAGGATTTATGATGGTTTTGTTCTCAGCTGCGATGCAGGGTCATGCCTTGACTCTATAGGACCGCCTCGCTGCTCTTGGCTCGTACGAGTTGTACATGGTCACCCGCCATTTTCGGAACCGGAAGTATTTACGGATATGTTGCCGAAAGTATTTGTAGATATGTGGATATCGTTTGGAATATCTCTATTCATATTATCTTTAATTCATTTCAAGATATCTCCAATTCAATTTAAGATATCTTCAATTGAATTCATTTCGCGACATCATGAATTTTATTGGAGATATCTGTAATTATGTCTATTCGAGAGATCTATCTTCAAATCTTAAAATCAATTTAATATATCAATATTAATAAATAAATGTGAAAACAGGAGTGAATTTCTCACCGTTCATGGCCCCACCGTTTTTAAAAAAATCACATTAGGCAACACAATTTTGTTGGCTATGTTTTTTGTTCTTTCAATATGAAGATACATATTTTTCATGATTTTTTAAACAATCATATAAAGACACAAACGATTTAAGTAGTCGGAATTATTTTTATCAAAGTACCGCAACCATTACGTGCGTTCTGATTGGTTTGTCGTATTTACGCACATAACAATCGTCGAAAGGGGGGCGAGTCTTCTTGGAGGGTTACAGAAAGATGCGAGTGGTGTCGAATGTCAAATATCTACTCATTCCATTCGTCACCACTCGCCCCTTTCCGTAACCTCCAAGAAGACTAGCAGTCCCCGTCTCGATGCTTGTTATGTGCAAAAATACGACAAACCAATCAGAACGCACGTAATGGTTGCAGTGCTTTGATAAAAATAATCCAGACTACTTAAATCGTTTATGGCATACTAGTAATTTTATTGTTTTAAAAATCATGAAAACTATATATCGTCATATTGAAAGTGCTAAGAACGTAGCTAACAGAATTGTGCTGTCTAATGTGAAGTTTTTGATAAGAATCATGCTATTGACGGTGAGAGATTCAAATACACGCACGTGCGTTTGTTGACATAACGGCTCGTCCAACTGAGTGTATTTCTGACGATCTTGCGTGCTTGCTATGGAGATTGTACGTGCGCTTCCAACATTTTAGGAAATGTAATTATAAATCGCTACGAGTTACAAAACAATAATATTCTATCTGTATGTAACTAACCAACTTTAATTTTTAACATTGGACATATAATTCACATCTCTGGGAACATTTAAGTCTGACTTTTCTTTGGTCATCCATATATTTTTCAGCGAATTAATTTAAAATTCCACCTGGGGTATGACAGCAAGGTACACGAATGTTCAGTGTGAGAAGTCATTTTTGAGTTTCTGCTTTGGGTTTAATGTTGCTGGGTTTTTAATAAATTGTATTTGCATATTCAATGAAAATTCCCATTTGTGATTATTATAATTGGAAATATAAAGTGAACATCTGGTAATAATTACGTCAGAATATGTCTTTAAGAAATATGTTTTTCTCCATCTTTTATTTGTACCAAGGAGGTTTAATTCTTTAAAATAAATAAGAAACAACAAAAACAGCAATACAATGCATGAGTACTTCGGTGATATTAAGTACCAATGGAATCAAACAGGAATAGAGTTATCGTTCCTGTTTGAAGAAGCTCTGATGTTCCTACACCAATATGAAATCCTTCCAGAGGGGCACGAGTCGCTATTCGGCTTGTCCCGGAATAACACGAGTTGGTCACGAATGATATCGACTCAAATCGTTCAATGGTCGACATTTTGACAAATTATAAGTGGCACGTGCGTATTATAGGTGTACAAAGAAATCATTTTTCTTTTTCTTTTTGATTTAATGACGACATTAAAAGACAAGGGATATGTTAATGCAAACGTCGACTTTGATAATACTATTTATGAGTGAACTATATTTTTCAGGGCACTTGATGAAAAAGAGCTGTGGGCAGCGTTAAATGAAAGAGTAGAATTTGAATTGAACTTTCGATGGAATGAGAATGTCAAATATGGAGAGACCAAGACTACCATTAAAAACATACTTCGCCAGTTCTCAACAAAATATACCAGTAATGTCGAGCTGGATGACATCACAAGCGAGGATGACATTCAAGCGTTGAAACAGATTCCAATCCGAGAAGTAGGACAATTTCCTGATACTGTCATGAAACTGAAAAGCCAAATTCTAAAAAAGGAAATGGACGAATTGGAACAAGCCTTAACAGAAAAGGCCGACTCTTTCGTTCCGATGGGATGGCACTTCGGAATGCTGGACGCCGTCAAGAGCAGCCCTGATCCTGCAGTAAGCATGGCAGCAGGTATACTGAAAGTCAAGCTGGTGGAGATTCTGAAGACGGACCTAATTACTAAGTACGATGTGACAACTCCAGGTAAATACATCTCGGAGAGTGAGAAGATATTCTTGAGAAGACTACCTTCTACCGGCACCAACCCAGCGGGCCACCCTGTCCTCTCCTATCTTTACAACGTTGTCATCGACAGCGACGTGGAGGAAATCGAGACTCTGAGGCAGAAGTTCCGGCGTGAAGGCAGTCGTTTCAGACTTAACCATGCAGACCTCCGACGATGCAAGAACTACATCAGCGCTCCTGGGGTTCCTGAGAGGCTTAAGACAAAGGCCAATGCATTTCTGAACGAATTAAAGGCTGGGGTGGTGGAATCTCCCAAAACGAGGCCGCGGAATCAGTTTAGATAGATTTTGAGTGTCTTTAGAATTGTCTCCACGACCTGGAGCCATGTCTGTTTTCAAATATACTCTTCTTCCAGTAATGACGAAGCTTCATTCCACAATTAATGCCTCAAGATTCATTTTGTAAACTATTCCATTATTGCACTATGTTAGAAGCGTCTCCACGACCTGGAGCCAATGTCTGTTTTCAAATATACTCTTGTTCCAGTTATGACGAAGCCCCATTCCACAAGTAATGTCTCAATATTCATTTTGTGGAACTATTCCATAACTGCACGATGTTACGAATGAAACTGATGTGTCTTACCACTTGCTGTCTTTTATGTTAATTCAAACCTGCACTATTTCTGAATAACCCGGATGTGCTTCAGCCCTCTAGACTTGTCAAGAACCTTTATATGTTTTGCATTGTGCCTGTCAGGTACCTTTATATATACTGTATATATACACAAAGAAAAAAGTTAAGCACCCCCTGATATTTTTATGAATTTTTCCCCCATTATTTGAAATAGTGATACAAGGTATAAGTATGGGAAGAGAAGAGTTTGCGCGAGACGATATAACCAGTGATCACGCTCGTGTCGCATGTGACATGCACGTGCAACATGCTACCACCGAGGATCACAAAAAGCAGTACGGCTTTGTGGGTATTTAACGTTGGCTGAAACGGCCATTCAAGCATATTCATTGAACATGTCAATCGACACAAGAAATCAGATTATTGGTATGCATACCGCTGGAATGTCCTTTAAGGCGACTGGACGAAATCTGGGCTGCCATTACACCGTTGTTAGCCGTTTAGTCCGGAAACATGCGCAGACCGGAAGTGCAATGAACCGTCCAAGTTCTGGAAGACCTCCTGTCACTTCACCGCGTGAAGACAGACAACTGATGCGACATGCACGTCTGAGCCCTTCAGACTGTGGTTACCCAATCGGCCCATCAACACCAGAACAGTCAGAAATCATCTAAAAGCGGCAGGATTGAAGGCCAGAAGTGTCATTAAACGTCCCTTGTTGAGAGACCACCATAAATGTGCACGTTTGGCATGGTGCTTGGCCAGACGACACTGGAATCTGAGGACCTGGAGGAAAATCCATTGGTCGGACAAAAACCGCTTTTTACTTTATTTTACTGATGAACATACACGTGTTTGGAGGCATAAAAACACAGCTTATACCCCCAGGAACATTCTGACAACTGTTGCCTATGGAGGAGGATCTGTCATGGTGTGGGGATGCATCTCTCATAATTGCAAGCTGTATCTGGTCACCATCAGGGGCAACTTAATGGGAGCTCAATACATCCGGAACGTCATACAACCAGTCGTTGTCCCTCATTTTGATAACCATCCACTTGCTACACGACCTCAGTACATGGACAACCCCAGGCCTTATCGATCACGTGCCGTAGTGGATTACATGAGGAGCACTGCAGTGACAACTCTACCCAGGCAGCTTTATGCCCAGATCTGAACCCCCTGAAGCATGTGTGGGACATTATAGGGCGGCGAATCCAGGCACGGTACCCTCCAGTACACAATTTACATCAGTTAGAAGCAGCTCTGCATGCTAGTGGTTGTTATTGAACCGAGAACAGATCCGACGTCTGACTGGAGGCATGAGACGTAGGGTGGAATGTGTCATCCGGGTACGTGGCGGGTCCAGCCGGTACTGATTAGTCTCACTGAACACAAACACTATTGTCTTCAAGGAACATTTTCATGTGACAATATCAATGTCAACACCCTTTCATTGACTTGCACCTCCATACTTTTGGGGGGTTTGTTTCGGGGTAAAAGCAGTACCCATGATAACATGACGTAATCGCTATTAAATTCTAACCACAGCTCAGCAATGTTGCGTTTCTGTCTTGCCAGATGGTTGTTCTATCAGACAGCATTTGAATGTCCGATTATTTAGGGCCATTGCGGACCTGGCAAGTTTTTTGCCATTTGGCATTGTGAGAATTTCAGGGGGTGCTTATACTTTTTTTCTTTGTGTATATTTTGTATTCTGAAGGTAAGCTACAGAACACTGCTGCTGTGATACACTGCTTTGACAAATGGTATTGGAGGTTTTAGTGATGTAAGGAAACAAATCCATAGTTAAAATGCCTTGCAATGACGGAAGGCGTTAATTAATATCCACCACAGAACTTTCCCAGTGCAGCGATGTAGCTGATGGTTGGTCTCACATTTGACCAACCGTTTGTGTATAACTACTTATAAATGCGTTTCTGTCGTTCTTTAAATTGTTGATTGGTTCCTGAAAACTCCCTAAAAAGGCCTTAAATGTGATGGCTGATAATCCTACGAACCCTAATGTGTCAAGGCCATGTCGTCAATCATTCGTCACCACTCGACCCTTTCTGTAACCTTCGGCTTGTCCCGGAATAACCCGAGTTGGTCACGAATGGTCGTCAATGTGTGGGCCTGAAATGATCTCATCTCAGACGTCTGATCATTTTTATAATCTAAATTCCTGGTTGTGTCAATAACATTAAATTTAATGAAAACTGTAAATATTATTTAGCTTCTTCCATTCTCCTTGCTTTTGTTGAGTTGCTATACGTTTCCTTTTCACTAGATTTGTTTGTAGGAATAATTGCTAGTTTTAATGTTATGTATGTACATGTAATTACCGACGTTAAATATCATTTTTGCATTCTTCAATAGTAAATTAATGCAAAATTTCAAACAGACCATTTACACACAGCCTTAAATAAACACGTTTGATTGGAATTTTAGAAGTAGATGAATAATAAGAAAGATACGATGCTTTATGGATGCTAAAAAAGTTGTTATCTATAAAGCGTCGTACCTTTCTGATGTTTTCTCACAATGTTGCCAGGGGTCTAAAGCGAAAGATACGTGAAAATGAGTTCAGCTCCCCGAGGAGATATTATGACGCTATGTCTGTCCTTGAGATATCATTTGCTGTTTTTTCACAACTGATTTTTTACCCTTAACAGGAGAGCCTTCTAATAGCTACTTAAATTCTAAAAGAATATCTGACACTGTTAGTTTATTTCCTTGCACCGTCAATGAAAACTTCAAGGACGCCTATATTTTTATGGCGATTTCTTTTTTATTAGTTAGTATAGTTTTTTAATGTTTTTGTTAATTTATATTTTTGCATGTAAAATCATGCCTATGTGCAAACATTATTGTATTGTCATTGTACTGCATCCTTTAGATTGCCTTCTTTTATTACTGAAACTGTTACCATGCTTTCTTGAAGTTAATCGCAACCTTCTATATGTAACTTAACATCTTAATAAACACGGTTGACGGGTTTCTTGTGTTATGTCACAACGACCTTTCTTATTGAAAACATGACTCGTTTTATGGATAACTCAAAGCTAATTCTTGCTCCTTCATCAGGTGAATGCAGTCAGTGCATAGATAGATAGATTAGATACATAGATGGATATATAGATAAATAGATAGATAGATAGTGTAAACATATTTTATTAAATATGAATTGAACAAGGATTGGTAAACAAGCCGTAATGGCTTATTTGAATACCTCTCCATTTCATTGATACATGAATAAAACAAATATTAAATAATATGCAGCATGATAGGAAAGCAAGCAACCTGCGTATTGAACATTATTAATCATTTATCAAACCTATGCGATTTTATTATAAACGTATGGACAGATTTTAGTATGAAAGAATTTACAAGTACATTTTTGTTTGGATTACCATTTAGGACAGAATTTAAATCATATCCATGTTCGTAAAAATACATGCGATGTCTGATGTTAGAATAATTAGGACAAGTAAAGAAGTAATGTAAAGTATCCTCATAGGGGTGACCACAGGAACAGAATGGATCAACTGAAATGTGCCGTTCAAACATGTGCGCTTTCAAATTACTGCACCCAAGTCTGAGGCGTGAGTGGATAATTTGGCAGAAACGTGTACCAAAGATTTTATCGAATATATTAAAATTGGATGGTTTAGATGATTGGAATGCATTTTTGAATTGGCCTATGGTTTCAATATCGTACATATTCTCAGGCAAATCATTCCATTGTCGTATTGTATCAGGTAAAAACGAGTTGCTATACAAATCACTACGACATCTTATAGTTTGAATGTTATTACTGTTTCTTAATCTATGGTCACTTAACTGTGATACTTTTTCGGGCAGTAGATCAGTTAAATAAACTGGTGTCATATGATGAACCACTTTGGAAAATAATGATAACTTGCTAATTTGTCTACGGTCAACTAGGGGCATAGAGTTAGTTTCCTTACATATTAAGTCATGATTTGTTCCTCTAACTGCCCCGCAAATCGTTCGCAGTGCGTCTAAATGTAGATTTTCGACAAGTTTTTCTTGTTCTTTAGTACAGTCATCCCAAAGGTGCGAACAGTAATCGAACGTTGGTAATATATATGACTTGTACATTTTCTCTAATGATTTTCTAGATAATCTGTATTTAAAACTACGTAGACAATTTACCAATGGACGAACCTTTTTAACTAATTCACCAATGTGGGAGTTCCATTTACAGTCTGATTGCAAGGTTACTCCTAGGTGTTTATGGTAGCCGACTTCAGTAATGTCTACTCCATGCATTTTAAGCTTAGGAATTGGAAGTTGATTACCGGTATTTCTGCGAGTGAATAAAACAACTTCAGTCTTACCAGGATTAAAGCTAACCTGCTATAGTTCAGCCCAGTGAGAGATCCTGTTTAGGTCATTATTTAAGGAAGCGGCAGTAACAACATGATTATCAACAATAACATATACCGAAGTATCATCGGCAAAACCGAATGTTACTACTGATACCCTCAATGATATCATTTATGTAAACTAAAAACAGTAATGGCCCAAGGACAGATCCTTGTGGCACCCCAGCAGTGACTTTCTTTAGATCTGAATTGGAATTGTCTATAGCTACTCTCTATTGTCAAGATAACTGGAAAACCAATCAAGTAACTTACCCTTAATACCTTAAGCTTCTAATTTCGCTATGATTCCCTTATGCCAAACCTTGTCAAAAGCCTTGCTTATGTCACCGAAATCTGCCCTGACTTCTTTGCCATTGTCTAATGCATGTAGTATAAAATCATACAAGTATGTCAGTTGGTATACAGTTCCATCCCCAGGCATGAATCCTGACTGCAAATTCGTTAATACGTTATTATCTACAAAAAGTTAAACACATGTTTAAAAATACATTTCTCAAATACCTTTGATAAACAGTTGGTAAGAGCAACTGGTCTATAGTTTTTACATTCATTAAAACTACCTTTTTTATGAATAGGAGTGACAATAGCTTCCTTCCATATTGTTTGGAATTTACAATATTCTAGGGATAAATTGAATAGATTAGTAAGAGGAGTACAAAGGGATGGCACGATCATTTTGATAAATCTGTTACCTATTTTGTCTGGTCCACTGGCTTTGGAAATATCAACTGATAATAGGATGTCTCTTACTTCTTGTGTAGTCAATACAATAGACGCAAGTGGAGTCTTTACTTTACATTCAAGTGTAGGAGTCTCCTTATCAGGATAGTCAACTTGTGCGTGGTTAGCAAAATATTCATTAAATATATTTGCTTTATCTTTACTATCATTGAACACATTATCGTTATGAATAATCGAAGGAAATTTCTTATAATCTCCATTTTTGGATTTTATATACTTATTCACTAAAGCCCACCAAAATTTAGAATTACTCCCCTGATTGATCTTATCATCTAAATCAGAAATATATTTCAATTTGGCTGCTCTTACGGCTGCTGTTACTTTGTTCCGTAAAAGCCTAAATTTTTGCCAGTCTTTATCATAATTTCGAGTCTTTGCTTTCTTATGCTGTCTATTTCTTTTCCTGATAAGTATTCTTATAGCACTATTCATCCACGGATTGTCCCGAGGTCTTATTGTTACCACATTATTTGGAACATAAATATCACATATATTTCTCAAAACATCAACAAATTCATGTGTTAGTATATCAATATTATTACATCTAAAGATAGAATCCCAGTCAACGTTGTTAAGGCCTCGATTCATTCCCTCAGTATTAGCTAAATTATAATAAAATACTTTCCTTTTAAATTTTAAAGGCGTTGAATCAGAGCCCCCAACAGAGACATAAACTGGACAATGATCACTGCAAAAAGGATCAAGCACACCCGAAGTGCGAATACAATTAGGGTTTGAAACAAAGCTTAAATCAATTAACGTACTAGTCGTTTGGGTGATCCTTGTTGGTTCTGTGATAAGTTGCTGTAAGTCATATGTATCAAGAAGATTGTCAATCATGTTATTAGTCTGGTTATGTATATTGATGTTAAAGTCACCAGCAATAATAGTATCTATGCCCATGTCAATGCCATTACCAATTGATTTGAGGACTAGTTCCCAATAAAGATCACTTTTATCTGCTCTGTAAAAGTTTCCAATCAAATAGCTCTTGTTTTTACACATAACTTTAACCCAGATCGCTTCTAAACCTAAGGGAGACAACTTATCAGCATGTGTCACATGCAGGTTCTCTCTCACATAGATAGCAACACCTCCACCTTTTGATGGTCTATCTTTCCTAAAAGGGGCGTGGTAACCGGGGATAAGAATATTATTGTTATCAATTGTGACATTCAACCATGTTTCTGTTAAACATATAACATCATAGTCACTTAATTCTGCCTGGATTAAATCAACTTTTTCTCTTAAGCTACGCACATTCAGATGAACTATTTTTAAGTCAGGATAAGCAAGTGGGCCTGGATTTGGGTGCACATCACCACAGCATAGAAGAATTAGTAACATAATCAGCTGCACTTGCGGATTGTATAAACATAACGTCATTATGGCATATGAAGTTTTTTAAAATTTTGCATAGGAATTTAACTGTGAAAGCATTTCAAAAAACCCTATTGTCTGTCGGTATGTCGAGATATCAACCGGCATCGTCAAATATGAATATAAACAGATCAGTTTGAGGACAGACGGTGTTATTTGTCAAAAGATGTGAAATACGCTCAGGTTGCTGCTTCCATTTCATCAAGATAACAAGTTTCACCTTTACAAGCTCAATGTGTGTATATTCAAAACACAAGAAACAAAGATACAACGCAAGTTCAACATAAAATAATTGTCCATAAGTCATCATGGAAAATATTAAAATACTGTTTAGGGGCTTGAAATACTGGGGGTTGAAATAGAGAATTGTCATACAGTGGATAAGAAAAGCAAGGAGGGAAGAGAAGTAATATGCAGTAAATAGGGAAGTGTATACTAGTAAGGCTGACGATGCAGTAAACTGTCAAGTAGTAAAACCAGTCTGAGCTGGTTTAGCTTTTAAGTCAAGATTGCAAACTTAAGTTCTCAAGTCTTGTACGAGCAAAAATAGAAAAGCATCGTAACTGTTGCCATTACATAATGATGCCTGGCTCATATAACAGAAAGCACGAGATAAGCGGACTTTCCGTGCAAAAGCAAAATCCCAGACGGGTCAGTTTTGTGAACATATAACGACAGGAGCAGGGATTTTTCGGATAATATGTTCCATCAATGGTAAGTTAATTCATTATTTACAAAATCATTTTATAATAGGATATGCTGGTAGTTGCCTTACTAGATTTATATGTGTCTATCAGTGAAACATTGACCGTAAACACAGCTGCTCCATGAAACAATACTGGTCAGTCCAATCAAGAGTACAGAATATACAAATATCACAAACGGAATCCCCCCAATGCACAGAGTATCTGTGTAGATAGATAGATAGATTAGTTAGATTGATAGAAGTTTATATAAGAGTGGATCAGGTGGGTGGTTGAGTTTAGTTTTACGCCACTTTTAGCAATATTTCAGCAATATCATGGTTGGAGACACCAGAAATGGGCTTCAAACATTGTACCCATGTGGAGAATCGAACATGGGTCTCCAGCGTGACGGGCCTACGCTTTAACCACTAGGCTACCCCACCGCTTCAGTGTGAAGTATTAACCCGTATATACGTTATTATAGATTAGTATAAAGGGGGTGATTTGGTATCATTGATTTTGACGTACAAGGACATTACATTTTGTTTAAAATCACGTCCGCTGGCTTCATCATTAAAATTGAAAATTTGAACAAGGTTCGGCCTCTAAAGTTTGAAGAGATGTCTCCCTTTATCATTTACCGTTGATGTAGTAAATAACAACCCAGCAGGCACATCAACGTTGTTTCAACGTTGAGAATAGGTTGATCCTCAACGTTGAAAATAGATTGAAAATAGGTTGTATATGAAAGTTTTTTTGACGTAGATATCCGACGTGGAA